GGGGTGTTTACTCACCAGTATCTCTACTCAATCCTTCTTACCAGATTAAAAGTCAAAAAATACCATTCTCTGCCAGTTACAAGTAACATCTGAACGACTAACCTTAGAACTCTCTTCCCATGCATTTCCTGACTCAGTAGTGAGTGATTGTTCATAATAGTCCTACAAGGTAAGTTTTACTATAATTTGATAAAAGAGGGTACTAAAGCTTGAAGAATTAGTGACTTTCTCAAGCTCAAAAAGTTAACAAAAAGATCCTACTGAAAACTGATATTTCTTAAATTATGCCCATTTATTGTTGATACTGTTATTTTTTCACTGTGCTCAACGAACTCCTCTTTTAAATTTCAAGTATGTCAGGCATTCTATGTCTGATCTGTTTAAATTATCTATAATTTAATGGGAATTAAATTAGCAGACAATTTCTGGCATTAAAGCTAGGAAACAGCAGGTTTTGAGCAAGTAGATATAAAAAAGGCCCCCCTGGAACAGAATGTACTAGGAGTGGATAAAGAAGACCAATAAACAGGGAGGTCTGAGATAGTCCACCCAATAGCCATATTGTTTCTCCTAGTAAGAACACTTTTAATATTATGTATTTATATGTAAGATTATTGATGTGTGTCTGTGTGTATCCATTAAGTTTCATAAATCCATAAAAAATCTGTTTGGCTTTTATTTCACATTAAACATTTGAAAACAAAAACAATCACTTAAAAATCTGAATTCAATAGTTTTCTACATGAACATGAACCATTCAATCAGATTCACTGATTGAATATAAATTTTAAAACTTGAATTGTTAGATTGTTCAAAAATTTTTTCTTCAAGAAAAAAATGCATATTGTTCAAGCAAATGTTTTACATACTTTATTTTCCAGAAATTTTACTTTCATATTGAATGACATAGGGTGTGCCCTGGAAAGCTCAACACCAGAGATCCATTCCAAAATTCATCAAGAAAAAAAAAATCAAATTCTAAAATTAAGAGTCCTTCTGTGTTGCTTTGAGCAAAAACTTTCATCAAAGTTCATTTATAGAATAGTACAATTGGCTTTTAAATATATTGTTAAGATTTAAAAGTTAATACATATTTAATAAACTTTAAAGAAAAGCACCCATTGCCCATAATCCCAGTATTCATAATCTTTCCTTTTTTTTTTTTTTTTTTTTTTGAGACAGAATCTCACTCCGTCACCCAGGCTAGAGTGCAGTGATGCTATCTCTGCTCACTCTAACCTCTGCCTCTGGGTTCAACTGATTCTCCTGCCTCAGCCTCCCGAGTAGCTGGGACTAGAGGTGCACACCACCATGCCCAGCTAATTTTTGTATTTTTAGTAGAGACAGGGTTTCACCATGTTGGCCAGGCTGGTCTCGAACTACTGTCGTCAGGTGATCTGCCCACCTAGGCCTCCCAAAGTTCTGAAATAAAGTTTTGGGATTACAGGTGTGAGCCACAGTGCCTGGCCTCTCATAATTATTCTTAAGGTGTATGAACAATCACACAGTCTTTGAAACAGTGATGGAAGGAATAACACTGGCATGATAGTAAAATGGTATGGTGCCTTTTTAAAAATTTAATGAATTACATATAAAAATAATTTTATTATGGAAAACTTGGTAAATACAGAAAAATAGAAAAACATCATTCAATCATTCATACTCACTGTTTTTATAAAGGTATTATCTAATAGCACATTTTATGCCATTTCACAGTGCATGATGCTGATGATACTGCAGGGACTGATTTTTAGGAAAATATTCACGAAGACAAGGGAGGAGGTAATATAAAGAGAGGCTTGATGACAGGTAATATCTACCATGAATGGTTTAATAACCTTTTCCAATGTAAAATATAACCCGTAAAGACTCAGATTTTTCAATAAGAGCATTAAAGATCCAGAAAAACATGACAAATTCCTTGGCATTTAAATGACTATGTGCAGTTTTCATTTTGTGAATAGAAGTAAAAGCTTCCATCCCAACTTTCAAACTTTGTAAGTAGTTTAATTATTGTTAGGAAGAACAAGTTGAGAATGATAACTATCGCTGTTTTAAGTGGTCCTCATCTACACTGTGGGACAAACAAGGAGAAATATTCTTCCCCACTGTTATCAAAGGAGCAGATGCAGAAATCGTTGAAGCAAAGAGAGTTGAAGGAAGCATTAAGGGTCAAATTCTACTCTGGGGTTCAAATTCACCTGACAATGCATAATCAGACCGGATCCAAGGGACTGAGATCCACAGGTTCTTAAACCCTTAAACAATCCATAAATCCTTTATACCTCAATTTTTCCTTTGAGATTTTCATTTCAATTTATCTTCCATTTGATCAAATTTAATCTATAAGTCTTTTTTATGGACATGCACAATAGTTTGACATTTTCTGAATCCTTACACATCCAAAAATGATTTTCCCAAAGGAAAGAAAATTAGCTACGTATAATTCTTGAGTCACTACCCTCTCCTTTCAAGATTCTATGAAGAAATCATCACTTTTTACAAGCATTTTGTTTTACAAAAAAAAATCCTATTTTTATTGTTTTTTTTTTTTAATGATTCGTTAAGCCTCCTGTGGCAGACATGGTAAGCTGATAATCAAAACCTACTACAGCTTTCTTCAGTGCAACTTTTAGTACTGCAAAGGCTAGAAAATCTACAAATTATATTTTCTCAACACTTTTGCAGCTAGGGAGCTGGATTCACCAATTAGAAGTATTTACATGATATTTAGATGGTGGAAGTAAGGAGGAGGTCATTTTACTTCTGTTTTGGCTGTTGCTATGAGCAAACACATTCACAGAAAAACATGCTCAGTTTTTATGAAGCAGAATTCCAGGATTCAGTGGCCAGCTGTATGAGTGTTTAGCAGCAGTCGTGGGAGTTTTCTGATCCCTGTGTTGCAGCTATACCAATGTTTGCACGATTAGAAGCCTTCCAGTGGTGACCAACTGATTCTCCCCATTCCTGATTATGACACAAGTACTAGCTCCTTTCCTAGGCCAGTTAGTGGTGTTGTTTAGGAAGTCTTACTTAGAAGGCTAGCTGAATGCCTACTCTTCCAGACCTTCCAAAGATAATCCTGAATTCAGTCCTTTTCTGTTTAACAGACTTGCAATGTTTTTTGTTTCTTGCAACTAAATTCTGACTGATACACTTCTCAGATGCTTGTAGAAGTTTGTTTTGTTGTTATTACTGATTTTGTACAACCTGAGAATAGTGGACTTTATTATCTTATGGTTTTAGATATGGTCCCATTAATACTAATATCTCAACTGAACCCAGCTCACAATGCATGATCACAATTGTTATTATTTTTCACAGGTTTCCTGTCTCCCAAGTATTTCCAGAATTCTTCAGCATGTTTATGTGCTTCAATGAATCATCCTTTGTCTGGATTAGCAGAGCCAATAATTCTCAACCCTAGGACTCATTTGTATCACAGAGATGTCACTCTGAGATACAACTCCATTTATAGCACTCAAGGCATTCCAGTTGCCATTGCCTAGGTGCTCAGGAAAATTACAAAATAAATACATAAACACTTTTTGCCTTGATGACTTTGACCTAAAATGTAATGACCTTAAAATGCTGCAAATCTACTGCAGTACAATGCCATGAATTTGAAATCTCACTATATCATAACAGTACAGCTGGGACTCAACCATACCTTGTTGCTAGAAATCCATGTCCTAATTATTACACAGTAGATTATGCTAAAACAGAGAGGACGTGTTTGAGCAGAAGTGTTAGAAAATTCTATGATATGTCTCTTACAACTCATTGCTAGGTGCACTCACAACTACTGGTTGATTAGCTTGGATGATTTCTGGTAGCGACCTCCACAGGAAACTAGGAAGTATCCTCCAGTGCTATAGAGTGTGGTTAATTATACAAAATATCCATTAGCCACTGCTATACTTGCTTTTTTCCAACAGTCATCTAAGCGTGGTTACAGAAAGGATTCCGGTATCTCTTTATCTTCACAAACCCTAGAAGTACTTTAAATTCTATAAAATATATACTGGGGAAAAGAGACTCATGAAAACATGCAGTCTATCATGACCCACTGGTAGATATTAAGTCTCAGTTTCAGTGTAACTAGAATACATTGTTCCAGTATTAGTTTAAAACATGTTGCTAGTTTTCATCTAACAAAATTTTTTCATCATTTTATTTGAACCATAGGTAAAAAAACTGTATCTGATTTTGCTTCTGTTCTTATGTTTCTGTTTCTATCTGAGAAACAGAAGCTATTTAAAAACCTGGATATTTATTATCTGTTTTCCATATGTATTATTCTCCCCATTATTTTTAAACAATTTCTCTGTCATTTTTCTCCTGAAAATACTTTTAAAATCTGTCTTCCATCCCACTCACTTTTCTACACGGTTTTGTTCGTTAGCTTTTCCATTGTGAAATTTAATTCTACGATGACAAATTTAGTCTCCTAGGATCATTTATGTCAACTGTGTACTTTTCATTTCATCCAGATATCCTTTCAGCTCAGTGTTTTTTTCATTTTTAAAATTATCATGGCTTTGTATTATAAAAACTGAAACTGTCTTCATGCTACCAAGAAACATTTTCTTGATCTTAAAGGGGGTTTGGGTTACAAGACCAATCCTGGTACTTTGTCCTACCTTCAGAATAAATGGAGTTAGATGTTCTAAAATCATTAGATTTTTCAGGAAGTAGTAAAAGTACCAATTTATGTTAAACTCTAATCATTCAATATTAAATAATATAATATTTAGTATGGCCAACAAAAGAGCAAATGAATGCATAAATAACAGGATGATAGGGAACAATACATGGAATGATAAAAAGAGATTTGATCAACCCAAAAAAGACAGGAAAAAAATGGATAACATGTATTAGGTGGGAGACTGATGAAATAAATACTAATGTTACAAATGTTAAATCTATCAACAATAACATTAAACAAAAAGAAACCTAATACTCTAAGTAAGAAATTAAAATAATAATTATATGGACCTCATAATACAGACAAATATGAGAACATAGAAAGATAGAAAGTAAAAGACTGGAAAAAGAAATATCTAAAGACTAATTGAAAGATAGCTGGTATAGATATACTAAAGCATGTACGGCCATGTTTAAAGTATGAAGCATTATTAGAAAAAGGGAGCCACTTATAATGATAGAAGGCTCCACACAACAGAAAGACATCACGATTCTCAATATGTACGTACTACATATCATAGCCTCAAGAAATATTTTAAAAGAAGATATATTAGACTACACTACATTGAATAACCACAATACTTCAAAAGAAAACATTAAGAGAGTAAAATGATTAGCCAGTGAGTGGGAGAATATATTTAAAAATATAAATATCTGACAAAAGACTCAGATATACACACACACAAATACACACACTTTTTTTAATTAAAAGAAAATGAACTCTTCAAATTATCTGAAGCTAAATGAGACTTTATACAATTATAGCCAAGGTTCTCTTTTATCTCTTATCTCTGCTTTGCTGCTATTTCTCGGAGAACGATTTTCTTCATGAGTCTAAAAACAGGTATTGGCATGTCCCACATTTCACATCATTCATCACAAAGAAAGCCAAATCTTTTCTCTAGATCCAGTTTTTAAAATCCCAAGAAAGGACTCTGATATAGATTACGTTATATTCCAACCTCTGGACCAACCTATAGCTGAATACCGAGTACTGTGTACCTGTACTGAACCTGGAGACAGATACACTAGAACTATTAGATCATTGAGATAATTAAAGAGCAGTTTTCTATAAGAAAGCTGTGTTTCCAGTCCAAAATAAAATTGTACTATATGTTGAATCCTGCCCCCCATCAGAAAAAGATACGTTGAAGTTCTAACCCGCAGTACCTCAGAATGTTACTCTATTTGAAAACAGAATTGTGTCAAATGTAATTACTTCAAATGAGGTCATACTAGAGTAGTGTGGGCCCATAATAAAAAATGACTAATGTCCTTATAACAAGACAACCATGTGAAGATAGAAAGACACGCAAAGAGAAAGCGATGATGAATGCAGAGATTGGAGCTAGGCAGCCGCAAGCCAGTGAGCACTAAAGATTGCTGTCAGATACCAAAAGCTAGGAATAGGCAAGGAAGGATCCTCGGTTCAAAGGGAACATGGCTCTGCTGACACCTTGATTTTACACTTGTAGCCACCAGACTGTGAGACAATAAAGTTCTGTTGTTTTAAGCCACACCCAATTTGTGGTACTTTGTTATGGCAATCTTAGGAAACTAATACAGGTGCTGAAAAGAGAAACTTGTAAATTCCCACTTTACTGATATCTGGAGAATAGAATTGGATGGGAGGAGCATAGAAAGGCAAGTGAACCCAGCTCATCATTTCCAAATAATATATCATTTGGGTGTAATATTTTGTATGTGTTTAGAATTCTATACAATGGCTAGAAATCACTTGGTGTGTTTTGGACATTTCAAGGCACCAAGATGAATGATCGAGGAATATCAATATAGATCCTTTAAATTAAAACATAACACCTAAATTACACTGAAGGATTCTCATTTGGTTTCAAAAATTCACTCTCATTTCAGTAACTCACAGGATGTGCTTTATGATAGACATAATCAAAAATGATTTAAACATTTATATAGCGTTTTTATGTGCAGAATTAACTACTACATTAAAATTTTCCCTTTTAGGCTTAGCAAACAATTCTATAAAATACTCATTCTTTATAAAACATATCCCCCTGTATTAGTCTGTTCTCAAACCGCTAATAAAGACATACCTGAGACTGGTTAATTTATAAAGAAAAGAGGTTTAATTGACTCACAGTTCCACCAGGCTGGGGAGACCTCAAAATCATGGCAGAAGGCAAATTAGAAGAAAAAGCACATCTTACAGAGCAGCAGGCAAAGAACTTGTGCAAGAGAACTCCAGAGCACGGATAAAAGTCACCAAATCTCACGAGACTTTTTCACTACCACAAGAGCAGTATGGGAGGAACCACCCCCATGATTCAATTACCTCCACCTGGTCCCATCATTGACACATGGGGATTATTACCACTCAAGGTGAGATTTGGATGGGGCACAGATAAACTATATCATTCCACCACTGGCCCCTCTCAAACCTCACGTCCTCACATTTCAAAACCAGTCATGCCTTTTGGGGAACCAACAGTTCCCCAGAGCTTTAACTTTACTCAACATTAACTCAAAATTCCACAGTCCAAAGTTTTATCTGAGACAGGCAAGTCTCTTCCTCCTATGAACCTGTAAAATCAAAAGCAAATACGTTACCTTTTGAATCCTTTGCTGCTTAGAAATTTATTCCACCAGATACCCTAAATCATCTCTCTCAAGTTCAAAGTTCCACAAATCTCTAGGGCAGGGGCAAAATGCCATCAATTTCTTTGCTAAAACATAGCAAGGATCATCTTCACTCTAGTTCCCAACAAGTCCCCCATCTCCATCTGAGATCACCTCAGCCTGGACTTCATTGTCCATATCGCTATCAACATATTGGTCAAAGCCATTAAACAAGTCTCTAGGAAGCTCCAAATTTTCCTGTCTTCAGAGTCCTCCAAACTGTTCCAACCTCTGTCTGTTACCCATTTCCAAATTTGCTTTCACATTTTTGGCTATCTTTACAGTAGCACCCTACTCTACCAGTAACAATTTACTGTATTAGTCTGTTCTCACACTGATAATAATACATACCCAAAATTAGGTAATTTATAAAGGAAAGAAGTTTAATTTACTTACTGTTTCACATGTCTGAGAGGCCTCACCATCATGGCAGAAGGAGAATAAGAAGGAAAGTCACATCTTACATAGCACTAGGCAGAGCTTGTGAATGGAAACTCCCATTTATAAAACCATCAGATCTCATGAGACTTATCCACTACAACAAGAAATGTATGAGGAAAATTGCCTTCATTATTCAATTATCTCCACCTGGCCCTGCCCTTCACATGTGGGTATTATTACAATTTAAGGTGAGATTCGGGTTGGAGACACAGCCAAACCATATCACCCCATTACCAGCTTTCTCTAGTTTCAGAAAGAATCATTGCTACTTCTTTGTTCTACTTCAAGAATAGTAGAAGAAATTTTTAAATGACATCTTGTCTGACTAGTTGCATTTTAGGTCAACTTTGTCATAAAATTATCCCCTAGTGAATAAAATACCATTGTTAATTATTCCTTCAGGTTATGGCATGAGAAACATTAATTTTTTTTTTCTATTTCTTTTGGCCACTCAAAGGCTTTCTTTATTACACATTTAAAACATGTGATGAAATGTCATCTAGTGTTTTTTTTTTTTATTTTACTTTAAGTTTTGGGATCCATGTGCAGGTTTGTTACATAGAAATACACATGCCATGGTGGTTTGCTGCACCCACCAATCCATCATCTACATTAGGTATTTCTCCTAATGCCATCCCTCCCCTAGTCTCCCAACCCTTCACAAGCCCAGGTATGTGATGTTTCCCTCCCTGTGTCCATGTGTTTTCACTGTTCAACTCCCATCTATGAATAAGAACATGCGGTGTTTGGTTTTATTCCTGTGTTACCTTGGTGAGAGTGATGGTTTCCAGCTTCATCCATGTCCCTGCAAAGAACATGAACTCAATCTTTTTTATGGCTGCATGGTATTCCATAGTGTGTATGTGCCAGATTTTCTTTATGCAGTCTATCATTGATGGACATTTGGGTTGGTTCCAAGTCTTTGCTATTGTGAATAGCACTGCAATAAACAAACGTGGGCATGTGTCTTTATAGTAGAATAATTTATAATCCTTGAATATAATTACAGCATGCCTAGTAATGGGATTGCTGGGTAAAATGGTATTTTTGGTTCTAGATCCTTGAGAAATGACCACACTGTCTTCCACAATGGTTGAACTGATTTACACTCCCATCAACATTGTAACAGCATTTCTCATACATCAGCTTTTAAATGGTGATGTTATCTGGAAGAGTCCCATGTCAGCCAAGTCAGTTATTAAAACTTCCACATTGATTGGGAGAAGTAGCTGGTTTATCTGTATGCTTATTTAACTTGTATTTCTCCTTATTCCACATGAGATTTTAAATGATTGAGTTTATCTCTGGATTGATGTCCAGTTTATCTCTACCACTAACTAGCTGTATAAACTTTGGCTAAAACTTAGTTTCCTCATCTTCAAATTGGGGAAAATAAACTCTCATCAGATAAGCGTTTAAGATTGAAAGAAAAAAATTACGTGGAAGTTAATTATAAGAAGAACAGGACCTGAATTCTATCTGTGTTATCTGTCACTAGTTTGAATTAGGGTCCTAAAGAAAGGAGACCTTCACATGCTTTTGGAAAGGGAGCAAGGGTGAGATACTGGGTACTGGCCAGCTTGTTTGGCATTTGGCCAAGAAATTTTGGCATTTTTTACAAAGCTAAATGTAGTCTTACCATTTGATCCAACAATCATGTTCCTAGGTAAGCGGATGAGTTGAATGCCTATACCCACAAAAATAATCTGCACACAGAGGTTTATAGCAGCTGTACTCATAATTGTCCAAAATTGGAATCATCCAAGATGTTCTTTTTTTTTTTTTTTTTTTGAGACGGAGTTTCGCTCTTGTTACCCAGGCTGGAGTGCAATGGCGCGATCTCGGCTCACTGCAACCTCCACCTCCTGGATTCAGGCAATTCTCCTGCCTCAGCTTCCCAAGTAGCTGGGATTACAGGCACGCGCCACCATGCCCAGCTAATTTTTTGTATCTTTAGTAGAGACGGGGTTTCACCATGTTGACCAGGATGGTCTCGATCTTGACCTCGTGATCCACCCGCCTCGGCCTCCCAAAGTGCTGGGATTACAGGCATGAGCCACCGCGCCCGGCCCAAGATGTTCTTTAATAAGCAAATGGATAAACTATGCTACATCTTTACAATAAATTATTACTCAGCTATAGACAGAAGTGAGTTATCAAGCCATAAAAATGCATGAAAGAAATTGAAATGTATATTACTAAGTTAAGCCAATCTGAAAATGTTATATCCTTTCTGATTCCAGTTATATGACATTCTAGAAAAGGCAAAACTATGGAGACAGTAAAAAGATCTGTGGTTTCCAGGGATTAAGGGGAAGAGAGCAGGATGAATAGGTAGAATATAGGTAATTTTTAGGATGGTGAAACTATTCTGTATGGTATTGCAATGGTGGATACGTGAAATAGCCAAGCACACAGGATTGCAAAACACAAAGGGTAAACCCAAATGTTAACTCATATTCGTTAATAGTAATATATCAGTAGTGGTTCATCAGTTGTAACAAATGTACCATAACTATGTAAAATGTTAATAAGAGGGGCAACTCTGGGTGGGATAGATGGAATATATGAGAATTCTCTGAATTTAATGCTCAATTTTTCTGTAAATGTAAAACTGCTCTGAAAAATAGTCTTAATTTAAAACCAAATAAAACAAAGTTTATGTACATCACACTTAGATGCTGTTTGACACTGCCACTGAAGCTTTCCATAGAACCTCAGGGTAGTATGTGCAGATGCATTTTGTTTATTAAATTTACCTTCTAATCTTGTCCCAAAAGGGATTTAAGTTTGCTGGGGAATAAGGCCTGGGTACCAGTCCCATAGTGGCAAGTAAACCATGTAGAGTCTCAAAGCTGGTGCTGGAGTCCAGCTGTGCTCATGTTATGCTCCTCCAGATGGCCTCCAGGGCAATGGCACTGGGGAATACCACGAGCACCCTTGTGTTTTCTCCTTTTTTTCCAGGCTGTCTGCCCAAAGGCCTGCATGTATTTAACATGCAACTTCTATGACCTCAGATGTTTGTTAAGGGTTTCGTTCACCTAATTTAAGCCTAGAAAATATCTTTCTCAAGAAGAAATCCTCTTCATTACTTCAGGCATAAAAGGAATTTGCAAACAGCTTTGGACATTTCAGTTCAGATAACAGCCCTTGTTCATTCCTACTACAGATCATTTGTTCTCTCATATGCTAAAGTTCCAATTCTATTTACTCTAGTTCATTTTATTTAGCTTTATTAACAGCTTATCATTTAACCTTTTGTTCATTTACCCTTTTAACTTTTTCTTAGAAATCCTACCTTTCTTAGAAAGCCTACCTGACTGCAGGTGGGAATGAAAGGAATGAAGCTCAAGGATTAAGTAATATTTAAACCTTGACCTTCAGTGTGGCTGAATGTTTGTGCCCCACTAAAATTCATATGTTGAAACTCTTATCTCCCAGTGTAATAGTATTAGGAGGTGGGGCCCTTGGGAGGTAATTAGGATTAGATGAGGTCATGAAGGTGGAAGCCTCAGGAATGAGATTAGAGCCCTTCAAACAGTCTAGAGAGAGCTTGCTTCTCTGTTCTCTGCCATGTCAGGATACAAGGAGAAGTCAGCAGTCTCCAGCCCAGAAGAGGGCCCTCAGCAGGACCTGACCATACAGGTACCCTTATTTTGAAATTTCATCAGAGCCTGACAGTACAGGCACCCCTATTTCAAATTACTGGTAGGATTTCTAAGAAACATAGTATTTCTAAGTAAGAGTTAAGAAGGTAGAGGTGGTAGACTGATTCTCTGTGATTGAGGTTATGAAAATTGTGTGTTTTAGGGAAATAGTTGAAGGCACAATTTTTTTTTCTTTTTGAAACAGAGTCTCGCTCCATCACCCAGGCTGGAGTACAATAGTGTGACCCAAGTGTGAACCAGGCTGGAGTACAAGCTCTGCCCCTTGGGTTCAAGTGATTCTTGTTCCTAAGTCCCTAAGTAGCTGGGACTGCAGGGGTGCACCATCATTCCTGGCTGATATATTTACTATGCTCAGGTTCTGCTGAGGGCCATCTTCTGGGCTGCAGACTGCCAACTTGTGCTTCTTATAAATTTCTGTTTTTTATAAGCCACCCAGTCTATAGCAATTTTATAGCAACCTGCACTGCCTAAGAAAATAAATATTCAATTATAATTTTTATCAACATTTCCCTTATTAGATAAAATATCCGAGAGTTGTTAGTACCCTTTTAGCCTTGGACATTGCTTTATCCCCATTCATGTGTATACAATAGATGCTTAATAAACCTTTGTTGCTAACTAGATAAAATAAAATGATTAGTCAATGAATTATTTTAATAGCTTTCTAACTGGTCTTCCTAACTTAATATCCCTTCCATCCACTCTCCGTACTGCAACCAGAGTGCTTATTTTAAAATATAATTTAATAACATCATGCTGTTATTTTAAACATTTTTGGGTAAAGGTTACGTAAAACAAACTTCAGGTAGCTGAAAACAAATTTAAATGGGGACTTCACTTAAAGGAGTCTTGAGGATAGTCTCTGTGCTCTGCCACAACCCCTTGGATACATACACTGTGGTCCAGCACATGGATCCTGGCATGCCCCAACCCTCAACAGCCAGTACGTAAATCAATGTTCAAAAGCTTCTCTCAGCTATTGGCACAGAGAGGCCGGGTTCCCTTGGAATTTGGGATCTCTGAGGGGCAGTTCTTAATCAGTGACTGACAAGTACAGAGGTAGCAATATCCTGGCTCCTTGCATTCCTGATTGTAAAAACCTCAAGGGCGTGACCTACACTGCCTCTGGAATTACTGAGGTATTGAACCAGAATTGCTCTTCTCTGGGTTTGTCTTGTTACTGCAGCACCCTTCCCTTCCTGGTCCTACTTACTCTGCTTCTTTATTTTCCTGTGAACATTTCTTAAATCTTTTTCTTATGAATCCATATCTGAAGGTCTGCATTTGAGAAACCCAAACTACGACCAGAATGTTTGTTGTCTACAGGACCCAAGGCTAAGAAATCACTTAGGCCTTGATAGGAACTATGACTGTAACCATTAGATAACAATCATAATTTCAAAGAAATAATCCAACTTTGTTTTAGGCCTCTGCTTTTCTCTTGATAACTGCTTCGTTTTTCCTTCTCTACTTTCAAACCTACTTGACAGAATATATAATTCTACAACTCTCAAGAAAATATTTTAATTTCTACATTTTGGTGGTCCTCAGATCAAATTCAAAAGAGAAAGCATCTGATTGCCTCAATCTGATAGAATAGCTAATCAGACATGGCCATAGAGACAGCATTCTATAAATACCAACACGCCCGCTGGGTTAAGCAGAGAGACCCTATAGCAAAAGAGAATAATTGGTAGCTGGCCAGGTCACATATAAAGTGTAAAATAACACAGAGATTTCCTACTTGAAACCCCCAATGGTTTCCAGTAGTCTTTAAAATAAAAATCTTTCTAAGACATACAAAGTCTTTATTATGTACCCTCAGTTTTTCCTCTGCCTACCTCAAGACCCATGTGAAATGTCCATAATATACGAGCTCTCTCTCTCATCTCTAATGTTACAATAGAATTTGCGGTTCTCTTCTGCTAGAGCAACTTATATACCTTCTCTGTACACATCTTTCATCTGACACTCCCACTGGTATTTCTGAATTAACTCGAGCATGACACCCTCTGCAAAAGGTCTGTTACTATCCTGAGTCTGGGTTAGGGACCCCTCCTCTGAGGGCCTTTGTATTATACCACACTACATGTTTTTGTCTGCTCAGGAGCCTCCTAGTTAGAATAGAGGTTTCTAAGGGGCATTATTATTTGCTGTAGTCTTCATACCCAACAAAGTGCTTGATCTCATAGAGACATTGAGCATATCTTTTTTTCAATGAGGGAGTTTAAAAAATGAAAATTTGAAAAAAAAGAAACTTAAAGTAACCATC